ACTTCATCGACAAGAGGACTAAGGATCCCGGTCCCGAAACACAATCTGCAACCCAACAACACGCTTGACTGACCTATGCGAAAGGAGGCTGCCCAAATGAGCTATGAAAACGCCGGGACAACATGCATATTTTCCCCCATTTTTTTTCTATTTTCTGGCACAAAGACCGCACACCCATACACATACTTATTTATTATTCCCCAAGCGTTTGACCAACAACTAACCCCGAACAAAAAAAGTATATAGAAGGAACTTTTGGGCCAAGTAGAGGACGAGCCGCATTCAAATGCCGTCTAATTTAGTTGCCTGCTGCATTGTGCGGTCCTTCCCTACCTATACCACACCACTATATAGCGTAGTATAGGGCATAACCATATCTATATCTGGCCAAAAGTAGCCCGACTTTATGACCTCAGAGTTGTGCAACAGCATCGCGCGAATCGCTTACATGAGATTGTAATTACGATAAGCGACCCGGCCAGGAGCTTCGAGATGTTTTTGCCCATAAACAGCCAAATGAGCCAAATAAATGTTATTTATAAAATCCAGGCAAATATAGGGGGAATTGGGGAGAACTATGGCCCGACTATCTGATACCCAGTATTTTGTATAAGTTCATGTAGTCACTTATTTGGCAGGATTATCTCAAGCCCATGCAAGTTATCATAAGTTATTTAAAGCCAGGACTCGAAAATAAAATTCAAAAATCTGTAGAGGATTGAAACCTCTGTATCATAAAGTATGGTACAATATATTATTTCAATAATTTGTATATTACGCCTTTTTTTTAAAACATCTTCTATACTTTGACTTTGAATGAACATTTTTAAAAGATCCTTAATTATTGTTCTTATGAGTTATTTTACATACAGTACCACAGAAGTACAATCCCCTATTACTTCCAAATTACCGGGTATAAGATGGGGAATGGGGCCACAGAAGTGCTGAGCCCGCCAATCGCTCGACTTTTGTATGCAAGCCAATTGCGATTTATGTTTATATTTATATTTATTTTTATATAAAATTCTTGCGATATCAAATCATGCTCGCATATAGGTAACTAAATATGCCGCACACAGACACACGAAGGCTCACACCGACAGACAGTCACACAGATACAGACACACACCCAGACAGATGGCGACCATTCAGGCATTCGACTTTTGGTTTTGGCTTACAGCTTTTGTGCCACGGCGTTATGTAAACATTCAGGGCATCGGATCGCTTGCCAGCAATGAGCAGGCATGCCATGCATAGATTTATGTACATATATATGTCTATATAAAAAGAAAGGGGCAGGGGCGTGGCAGGTTGGTGGTGGGGGCGGTGGGGCGGTACAGGCGCCATTTGCCGCGTTTAAACGATTGAGATATATTTATTAAGCGCCCGGTCGCTGGGACTCACTAAAGAAGGCTTGTTTATGGCCAAAAGCGAATCTCGCCAGCTTTCTAGGGAGGCAAAAAAGGGGTAGATCTCAGGGTGGAGAAAGTAGAGAAGGGAGGAGGAGAAAGGGAGAAACGCACCTTGTTCAAAACACATAAATAAGCAGACAATTTAAACGGATTCGAGAAGCAAGCATGGCATATTTATTTATAGTCAAGAAGGAGAAGGTTACGCTTTCTCCAAAAATATCTGTACTACGAACATTATTGCCAATAAAAATAATATTTCTCTCTATAACCCAAAAGCTTTTATTGAAAAACTAAGCAAGATAACTTTCTATGTAATAAAAGAAAGTTTATATTATATAATATATTTATATAAATTTATATTACATAATATCTAGTCCATATAAACGTTTAGATAGGTCCCTCTAACTATGTGTAAAATAAATTATTGGATTAAAAACATATTCAGTTATTTTTCCGTCTCTGTGGCCTGTAATATTCTGAGTAGCCCTACACTTGGACCTTTGATTGGTGGCTAATTAATATGGCAATCGAAGGCCGAAGCCGAGTAAATGTTGACACGGAGCAGTCACAATGGAGAGTCCTGTTGGCGGTGTCGATGTTTTGGGGTCGCATAAAGCGCTATTAATAGAGCGTGAATTTTAGCGCAAACACACACAGTCTCTCGAATACGCATCCACACACACTCCCACACACTGGGGGCGTTGTGTGTGCGCATTTATAGCCCGCAATGTTTTGCCAATCAAAACCCCAAAGTCATTTCATTATTGGCTTTGCGTAATCGACGTCAAAGCGTCCCCGACCAAAAGTCAACAGCGGAGAAAAGGAGCCCCGATCCAATCCAATCCAATCCGCGGTGGATATCCTAGGGGTTGGGGATTCCTGCAGCCTGTACATGGAGCGATGGAGCCTCGGAACCTCGGAACGTGCATGCAGTCAAGCGAATTGGAGGCAAATATTTTTACTTTGACACGGCGACCCAAAGGAAGGGATTCGGGACGAATCCTGCTCCTGCTCCTGCGCCTCATCCCCATCCCCATCCGCGACTTTATTGTCAAAAAGTGTAAATGACACAGTTCGTTAAACGCGACATCGAGACGCTAGATACAAAGATATATAGATAGATGGCCTGCGACAGATGGGGAATTTTTCGGCACGAATCCGTGGATTATGCACACTGGGGCGTGACCGAAAAAGGATTGCAGGCAGCCATTAATGGGGGCCATTTACCCATATAAGTCGGAGCCCTCAGCCTCCGACGGATTTCGTCAAGAATGTATGACAAATATTTTATGCGCCCATCATAAAGGAACCGCAAAAGGGGCTCGGAAAAGGGCTCCGAAAGCGGATAACTGCAGCCAAGTGGAGGCCAGGGGATGGCGAGTATCTCGCAGATAGCCAGATACAAATCGCAGGACCCGAAAGAACACATACAACCAAATAAAGCAGAAGGCTGAGTAAGGGCAGGAGCATAAAAGCCAACAACGAAGGCACTAAATAACAACAAAAGGGAGAAATACACAGAGAGGAAGTCTCAGTAAAATTAAACATTATATTAAGTCTTAAGATAAAATGAAAAAAATGTAATCCTTAATAAAATAATAAACCTTTTGGGGTTTTATGTTGATAAACAATGATTTGGATAATGATAATGTATTTGACAATGATAATTGATTAGATAATGGTAATGATTTGATTAAAAAAGGAATTTAAATTGAAATTTACATGATGGATATTCTCATAGAAAAGAAAGAAAAGATTACTTTTGAAACGTATTTTTATTAAATTGTAGATTAATCACCTCTAGATTAATAATCATCACGATACACTAATGATTTCTCGCAGTGCGGAAAATAAAGCTTTGAAGTTGCTGGGAAAACCCCGAAAAAGGAGAGTGCGGAAAATAAGAAAAATAAGAGCGGCAGATAGCGCAGGAGCGAAAGGAAAGGCGAAAGGTGCAAATAATGCCAGGCCCCAAAAAGTGTGCTACACATGTTGACATTGCCCGTGCGTGTGTGCGAGTGTGTGCGTTAGCCGTGCCCGTGTGTGTTTGCGATTTGCTTTATGTGTGTGTTGACGTGAGAATTTGCACGTCCTTTGTTATGCACGCGTGTAAATGTTTCGCCGGATTCAGATTCAGATTCGCATCCAGATTCTGATTCCATTTTCGAAACCGAAAGAATGAATTGAAAAACTAAACAAACTTGGGAAAGAGCAAATGTTTTATTTGCCTGCCGCACACAAGCAAACAGGCAGGCACACGCACGCACACATGCGAAGATGTCAGGGAGATACCCACAAATGCAGTGCGATTTCTGCTCCAAATTCGTTTCGATGGCAAAGAGTTTCCCCGTTTTCCCCGGTTTTTCCCCCTCTTCCCCGTGTGCACACAAACTTTGCGGCCTCCTTTAGTTGTTATAATATAACGAAAAAATATATATACCACATAAACAGGGCTCGGCGAGTGTGTGTTTGAGGTCGAGTTGATTGCTTAAGTAAACGCAAAAACGCTTCTTGGCCAACTTGATTCGCTGAAGTTTGCTGGCCGGGAAATTGCTCGCTGGCTTTTCTTCTACTTTCGGGTCAATTTCTCGGACGCCCAGTGATTTTTGCTTATTTTTATTAATAGACTTTGTTGTAAAATGCCAAACAATATTTTCCGACGGCCGACGGAAGTGTGTGTGCACTTCAAATTATGCTACATGCTGGAAGAACCCTTTTTGCAGGACCAGCGGCTGTTTATAAAGGATAAATTTGCTGGCAAGGATGCCGATCCCGATGCCGATGCCTAATCCGCAAATGGATATTTTGGCAGGGAGAAATGGGACTTGGACTGGGACTGGCCCTGAGAGTTCACAACTTTTTATTCCCGCTGATTGCTGATTGAAAACCGAAGGGAGACCCAAATTCGGGTTTATTTTTGGTCCGGAGTGGTGGGAAGTGAGTAATTAATTTTTGTGTTTGGCTTTCGGTGGGCGGTCAAAATGAGGTCTATATTTCTTCTATATGAGCTTTCATTAAAAAACTCGTAGTCCCCTCGCTTTACACTTTGAATAAGTGATTAAAAGCCCTAAAAAATGCATACGGACAGCTCGTTAATTGGACTTTCCATTCTTTATAGGATTGATAATGTAAGGCAATATTTTAAATTTGAAAAATCTTCTTATAAATAAATCAACGAGGTCTACCAGTTTTATTGGAAAGATGGTAAGTTAAGAAAATTTGTATATGGGATAACATTTAAAATAGATCCCAAAAATATGGTCCTTACTGCTACCTATTGAAAACTGAAATATAATATGTAGGTGATATACAGAAAACATTGAATAAGTAGAAAAACGCCTTTTAATACCTTACTACTGTGTCGTTTAAATCATATATTTAAAAACGCATCATCTTAGGCTGATCCAATACCATTTTATGAGTGAGTAAACATGATAATCAGAGATAGTTCTCAAGCTTTTGAAGCCTGGTTGACTAAAAGTTCCCTTGCACTTCAGCTGCAAGGCGGAAAATGCCAGCAATTTTGCCAGCTTGGTTTTCCCCGCAGCTTTCCCAATCTTAATATAAACAGACAGTCGGTTGACTCACCTTTTTCCCAGGCAGCGGAGACTCCTTTTCCTTCTCGCTTTTCGCTCGCTCAATTCGGCAGCCAATTGGGTACACACATCAATCAAGTACTTCAACAAGTTTTTCTCTATTTTGTTTGGTCTCTGGCTTGGTTTAGTTTGGATTAGTTGGGTTTAGTTTGGTTTAGTTGAGTTTAGAGCGAACTGCAGTTGGCATAGTTATTGCTAAGGCATTTATTGATATTATTGCGGCCCACTCACGCTAACACTCTGCCAGCCAGTTAATGGGTTAACTTTCGAGCTGGAATTAGCACGGGAATTGCAGAGGAATTCTCAAGGCAGGCAGGACAGCCAAAGGATAAAGGATGTGGGGCAGCGGAGGGCGGCACATGTGGCAAGTTCTCTCTGGCTGAGTGAGCATTTAAGTCCGAGGGACAGACGAATGTCAGAAGGTTATGGGTGTTAATGTCGCTTTTATTTAAAACGGATATTGGGCAAAGAACAAAGGCGGGCCCTTCCGAGTAATAAAAAATAAATTAAATGGAAAATGAAAATGGAAATGGCAATGGAAATGCACGGGGAGGTCCTGCGGAAAGGCGAAAAGAGAGAGCGAAGGCGCGAATGTGTCACGGATTTCATTGCTCATTGAATACGCATTCATTTCCACAAAGGAAAAAGGAAAAAGGAGCACAGGACCTGCCAGCCATTCAGGCAGCCGCCTCAATCGAGTCACTCAGTCTGCGTACGTAAGCAGCGAAGGACATTCACACAGATACAAGAGAGCCACACACACAGGCGCGCACACAGCGACACAGACAAACCAATACAGTGAAAGCCAAAGAGTAAGCCACAGAGCCCGCAGAGAAAATCAAAACTACGCGCACACACTGGCCAAATTTTGTGTTCTGACAAATTTCGCTGTGTATGTGCGCATTTTGTTGTAATTTGCCATTTTGGCAATTGCAATCCTTCGCATTTTATTGAATTTTACAAGCACAAAGGAGCCACACGCACACACGCTCAAAAGCAGGCCACACACTCAAACAATAACAACACTTTTTGTCATAATATTTTCATATTCATTATCCTGACTGCTTTTCGACTTTCATTTTTCATGTTTTTTGCGGCAAAATGTTTGAGCTTTGCTCGGTTATTTTATTTAATTTTTAAGTAAAGTTAGTTATATATTTTTGTAAGGAAAAGCGGAATTTTCATACGCGTTCGAGTGGAGCACACTTAAATCGCAGGATTCGCTGCTGCTTGCGGAACCGCCCTAAAACAGTCGGGAGAAAACTGAAAATGAAAATTGCTGAAAAATTCACCCAAGGCAAGCAGCAGTGGCAGCGGGAAAACGGACAAAAGCTTTTTCGCGCTCCCCAAAAGAAAGTACCAGTATTTTTCCGAGAGAGAAAAGGAGAGAGCGGGGAAAGCTCAATCAATAAGTAGAGCTGCTCTCGAATGGCAGGACATCCCCATCCAGAAACACCCACCCACCCAGTCACCACCCCCTGGGGCCATAGCACATGCTGGGATTTCGAACGAAAGGTTTTCTTTTCTCTGTGTGGCTTTCCCATTTTCCCAGCAATCTAGCACCTCTTCTCGGCTCGAAAATCACACTCACTATTAGTCGGAAAAACCCCGTTAGCGCGGACCGTAAACCGCAATTGTAAACCGTTCACGGACGGAGAATCTGTGGGAGACTTTTCCTCCACTTTGCACTGGGGCTCTCGGGTTCTCGGCTCTGGGTTTTCCGGAATTGCGATCCACACGTCTGACTGCCAGAATGGCCACAACATGAATGTCAGGTGTGCGATTCCGGCTGAGTTTCCTTCGCAGGACTCGCCGTCCTTCTCTACGTAGGCGTCTCTCCGCCGGAGAAAATGTCCCGATAACCGTTATTTGTTGGGGCTGCCCACTTGGCGCAGGGTTGCTTTCCGACAGCTGCCAGGACCTGCGAAATCGCAGTGTTGCATGCGAGCGCTTTTGGGAGCTTTTAGGGCTTTATACGCACTTTTAATTTTTTTAAATATATCCGACTACTCGAATAAATCACCTACTTAAGTGAAAAAAATGGAAGAAAGTACTATTTTTTAAAATGTTTATTTCACGATTTACGCTCTACATTTTTTATAAAATGGATTGCAGAAAGTAACAAACCGAATTTACTTGGACATATTTATCCAACTCCTTCCGCAATTCCTTGGCACTGTTAAGCATTTTGCACAATTATTGAATATTTTCTTGATGAGTTATTCAAATTTTAAATTGATGTGTAAATGTAAAATATTTTAATCCAATTCAGAAGATCGGAAATAATTACCCAGCATTGTATGGCAAAGGTTTAACGCGCATATCATATGCAGAATCTTGAAATCTACCGACTACCTCCATAATCGCAATTTGCATGTTGAATAACCCCTTGGGCATGCAATTCATAGAGGGCTGCCGATGATGATGGTAATCAAATGGATTACTCGAGTGGCCTGCACTTCAAATCTGCCAATCGGGCTCATCAATCTGTCAACTCCTTGGAGGAGTGGCATTAGAACACATGGCCACTTCGGCGAACAAAGGACCTGCATAAGGTGCTCTTAAACGGATTTTCGAACAGCCTCTCAAGGTGCAAATTAGCAGAGCTGCAGGATAATAACCCAAGGATCTCGAAAGGCATTCAGGTCCCTTAGGCAGCTGCCTGCGACCCGCAGAAACGGAAACTTGTTGGACGTGCAGCCACCTTATGCGGGCATCACTGTACAGGAATGCCCCGTGCCAAGGTGGCAAATGCAACTTGGCCCCGTATCGGTTTTCGAGATCATTTTATTAGTATTTTATGCTTTTTGTTTGCTCTGTGTTTTGGACACAGATGTTGGTGACTTACGGGCTGCTGCATCACTCCCTTAAAAACCTCCATCGATAGAGGGTAGTTTTTGCGGCATGATTTTACACAATTTTGGGATGTGCGAGGGAAGGACATTCACATCTCCTTATATGCTGTATGGCTCTTTTGACGCTTTAAATTGATTCACACCGCGCACGCAACTGCCATCCCCGCACCCTTCGATTTTTGTTTTATCCTGCTGCACCCTCGCATCCTAGGTATATCCTAGTACATCCCGGCGTATCCTGTTCGCCTTTTTTCCGTGCTGTCATGCATTTGTATTTGATTAAACATTTTTTACGCGTTTCCGCTGTGGGCAGGGCATCATTAGTTTGCCCCGTTTAGGGTTTCACTTTGGTCCAGGAGACTGGGCTCAAACTTCGAAAACACCCTGGGATTCCACCCTCATCATCATCAAGTTTCCTTGCCCTTTTACCAGTTACTAGTGCCCAAATGCATCTGTCCGATTCCGAAAGTCCACTTCCACTTCCGCTTCTCCGAATGTGTGTTTTGGTATTTGTTTTAGTCGGTCCTATGGATCGATGGACCATGTCAATGGCCCTTAATGGCATTTCATTACCCAACTGCAGCGCTATTTGGCAGCATGATTATGAGGAATCACCCAAGAAACACTCATCATTATTGTTTACCACTTACGGGACTTGCAACCCCCACATAGATGATATATGAGCACCTCGCCACAATTATAAAACAATCATTGGGGGTTTGTTTTCCCTGACAACCCAAAGAACAAGAAGTTTCCATTTTCAGTTTTTCGTTTTTATTCAAGAGTTTTCATAATTTACAATTTTTATGGGCTTTCCAAAGGTTTTGTTTTGTATAAAAATATTGGATATAAGATTTCAGTTTAGACTCCTTAAAATGTACAATTTCTTGTATAAAAATATTTGCTGTGTATATTACGTATAAAAATATTTGGTACAAAAATCTGTCTTCTTTTAGCTTATTGTTAATGCACAATCGAGCACAACGATTCTCTTGTAAACTTGAAGCTTAGTATATAGTATCACAAGATCTCAACCGATATGGTTACATATATGATATAGCTTACAGTTAGTTAATTCCTAGATTGAGCGAAAGTTTCCCTTTTCGTTGTACTCTGCGGTTACAACCATTTACATTTACAGATGCTAAGGAACAATAGCGCTGTGATATTGTCCCGATTTCGGGGGATTGCTTATATCTTATTGCTTTAAGTACACAACCGCCGGATTTCGAAGCCTGGGGCCCTTATAGCTAGGTTGTACTGTTCAATACTTTGACTGGTAGTGAGACGCTGGTCCAATGTCCGTTTCTATGTCTAACTAACCAAACTTAATTAAACTGAGAACTAAGTGGTTCCCCTGGTATCTTAGGTGGCTAAAAATGACTAGAGCTCACACTCGACTTTGGTTCACCAAAACACTGGGTCTGGATTTTCGTTTAAACTAGGATTTGGTTTTGCTTTTTGGTTTTGTTTGGGTGCGAACTTAAAAACTACTACTGCACAATTTTGCCTGAATTTTGGTTTCGGTATATAACCTGAATATGACTAAAGCTGTATCCGAAATTGAAGAATGATATATGATATATATACGTTTGTACAAACTTAGTAAGACCGAAATGAAGCTGACTTATAGAAATTATTTACCTAAAATGACTAGAAGGAATGCAAGAACCTATGACTAGAATGACACGAAAGAATGTTGGGTTGGAAAAGTGGGAAAAGGATTGGAATTTAGCAGGAAGATGATATGCGATAAAGTAGAACTGGATATAGCATTTTTAACGGGAAAGATGAGTATGAGAATGAGTCTTGAATAACGAACTTTGGACAGTGTGAAGATGGGAAGTTAGAGAACAGGAATGTGGAGGATTAATGATAGGCGTGATGAATGGTACATGAAAGATGATATAGGGGTAATGGAGATGTGTGCGATTTGGATTATAGTTAGTATTAGATGATTTTTAAAGAGTGTTATAAAAGAGTCTTTGGTATATGAGATGATAAAAGACTAGATGAACGAGTTGATATTAAATAGGTTTTTCTTTGGCTTTCTGTAGTTCATTGCACTCCCAAAAGTTTCTAAGCTAGCTATAACTAAAGACTAGATATCGAGATCGTATTGAAGCTGACTAGTGCCAAGATACTTTGGTTTCACTGACTAGAACTAAGGGGCATATGGAATGTTGGCCGAAGTACGGATACCAATTAGAGCCTGACTAGAATTGAACTCATTTGCGAACGAAACTAAATTGGTTTTAGAACTAAACTAACTAAGCTAACTAAGAATACGAAGAGGAAACTGAGATTTCCGTTAAATAAAACTAGTTCTTTGGTCTGGTTCAGCTGCATTGAGTTGAAGGGCCTTCAACGACTGTAGTAACTAAACTTAACGTTAAAATTAACTGTAAGGTTTAAACTTAATTCTCACTCGACTTTTCAGTGGGCCATGGTGGTGTGCTGGATGACGGAGGCGCAGTTCCTCAAGTTGGTCAGAGCGGCGGCAGCAATGGACTCCTCCTCCGTGAGGCCGTGCTCCACGATTTGCAGGCGGCCATAGCCCGCGGATGAGGCGGAGGAGCTGGAGTCCGAGAGGTAGTCGTTGTCGTAGTCGTAGTTGCTCCTGGTGTTTGCCCCCACCACGTAGACGCCCTCGTCGGAATGGGAGCTGCTGGCGGAAGAGGAGGTGGACGATCCCGCCTGGTTGAAGTGGAAACTGCCCGTTATGGTGGCGGTGGCCTTAACCTGCACTTGCTTCTCGACCGGCTTCTCCTTCTTCTGGTGCGTCAGCTGGTGCTTTCTCAGGTAGGCCGCCCTCTTGAACTTCTTGCCGCACTCCTGGCAATCGAAGGCCAGCTCCTCCATTGGTTTCTGCGCCACCTCCGGCTGCTTCTCCACCTGATTGATGGTGTTGCGGTTCTCCTTCTTGGCCGCCTCCTTCCTGGGCTTGTGCCACCTCCGGTGGGAGGCCAGGTTGGCGGGACAATTGAACTGCTTGCCGCACTCGGGACACCTGTACTCCAGCAGGACGATGCAGGCGCACCTGTGCCGGGCCAGACCGAAGGCATCCTCGAACTTGATCTTGCACAGGCGGCACACGTAGTCCCCAATCACGTTCTTGATGGCCGCCAGCTCCGCTTTGGTCTCCTCCGTGATCTCGACTATGTTGTACTTGGGGTCTATGTCGCCGTTGCTGTACTGCATGGAGCCATCGGTGATGTCCTCCAGGGGTCGGATAATGGTGCCCGAGACGGGGGAGCTGGTCTCCTCGTCGAACTTCAGCTTGCGGGTGGCCTTGTTGCGAGAGGGTTTACCCGAGGAGGTGGAGGCCTTGCTGGTCCTGGGCGCCGAATCCACTGGTTTGATGGGCTTCGCCGGGGTGGCTTCTTTGGTTTCGACGGGCGGCTCCTCCTTTTTGTGGATTTTAGCAGGGTGTTCTAGGGGCTCTTCGGCATCACAACTCTCCCGGCTCAATTTCCGCTTGCCCGCCGGACTTTGCGGCGGCGTGGGGGGTTTCTCCTCCGGCTGGGGCTCTGGAACTGGAACTTCCACCTCTGCGGGATCACCCCCTGCGGCATTTTCGCTGTACACCTCCGCAAATGTGGCCGCCATGGGCACATCGCCGTGGGGCAGCGGCGAGGGCAGCTTCAGCGTTAGGTCCAGCGGTATTTCGCACCTGGTTTTCAGGTTCAGGTAGCGACTGCGGTACTTGGGGGGCAGCGAGGCCACCGTGGTCAGGAGCCCCAGTCCGTGGGGCATCCCCTTGTGCTGCAGCTGGATGCCGATGCTGTGCGGATGGCTGAGCTTCTCGGTGGCTGTCTGTTGCAACTGGGCCATGGCATCGATGGGTTTCAACGGGGTTTCAATGGGGCTTAAACTGGGTGCTATTGGCAAACTTAAAACTTGAACTTGAAGTGGACAAAACGAAAACGTAGCAGAACGTAGCAGAACGAACGGGAACTAAGCAAACTTAACAACAAACTGATAACGCTGATCCTTGCGGACTGGGACTCTTTATCGAAGACCTCCAGTCGGCTCGACGTTTGTGCTGCGAATGACGTTCGGTGGCCTCCGGGGCGGCTATTTATGTGTGCCACAGGCCAAAGGAAAGCGAAAACGAAACCGAAACCCAACCGAAAACGAAACTCGAAATCATTGTTTGTGCCGCCGGCGTCCTGGAAATTCAGTTTCAACCCCCTTTTTCCAAAGTCGTTGTCCTTTTTCGACGCCGGCAGAGCCGCAAAAGCCGGAATCTTTTGTTAGCAATCACACACACATTAGTCACCCTTTTTTCCAAGCCAGGCACACACACTCGCACAGAGTGAAAATCCTACGCACACACACACTCTGACATTTTGCAGCCAGGACAATGCACTCGGAGAAAAATCAATGTGCGACAGCTGTTATGTGTTTGGGGATCCCTGAATTGCCACGCACCAAAATCAGCAAAAACAGCACCTTCCTCGGCAAATATATAGTATTCTGCGGAAATCGTAGCTGCTCATTGTCCTTATTTTTGGCCAAACAGCTGACAGCCATGAAGTCGTTAATTGAGCGTGTAACCATAAGGTCAGCGGGGAAGAGTCCTCAATGGTTCGGGATCCGAAGGCAGGATACCTTCTCGAAAGGTGAATGGTTTCATTGTTGCCATTTGGTGCAAAACAGCTGTTGGCAGTCGGCTGCAAGATGGTTAAGTAAACAATGTAACAAGTTAGAACTCGCTAGGAGGTATTTGGATCCATTATGCTATGCCAATCTGTGGCTAAAATGTAGATCATTTAAAGGTATTTCTTTAAATGGGAAATACTTGATATCAAATGAGATACATTTTCTATGTTTGACAATATCCAAAGCTATAAAATATATTTTAAAATGTTAAATTTCCCTATTTTTTACACTTGAAACTTTTGTTAGTTTTCTCTGTGTATTTAAAATAGAGCTCCCAATTAAACTGAGTTAAACTAACATTTCTCGTTGTGTATTTTGCGGCACTGCATTTATCAGCCTCAGACGACTAAGCTCGTCAAGTTCGCTTTTGGTGGGGTAGGTAGCAGACTAACAGACTAGCGACTGGCAGACACAACTTGGGTTCGAACTTCGAACTTCACCACCGCGAAACACGGCGCACAATCGCTTGTATCCTTGTATCCACGAGTCCTGGTAGCCCTGCATCTGTGTCTGCGTTTCTCGGGATGTGTCTGTGTGCAAGTATCCTGGGCGAGTGCTTTGCATTAATGTAATCGAAATGCGAAGCCGACTGAGCCGACAGTGGTTGCCATGAAAGGAATGCACTTTCGATTCCCGTCGAGGGCTTTCGGCGCAGGATTCGCAGGACTCTCGCTCCTGGAAATATGGCATATTATGTTGAACACGCCGCCATTGTTGTTGTTCTTGTATTACGGTAGGCACGTGCATGGCAACGATTGCCACCCCAAAACGGGCTGACTGTGAGTGAGCACTGAGGGAAAATAATAGGTACTACTTTAAATAAAATATTATAAACTATGAAGTAACTATATATTATTCATATATCATTTTTTATCATTTTATTTATTGTAAGAGTGTTGATAATTCTATTAAATGTTATATTTAAACTGATTTCTATGTTGTTAAAATTATTTATATTTTATGAAACTAATACTGATGCTGTCCAAAAAAATACTAATTGCTTTGGAAACAATCACTTTGTTAACTCCCTTTCTCGCAGTGCACAGTTGAAAGTGCAGAGAGTATTCCCAAAGCGATCCTGTCGCAGCAGGATGGCCATTCGGCTGGGGAATCGATGTTTGCCATGCAGCTTAGAATTAAAATAGCGCACGCATCCGAGGCCAAATCCACATCCAAGCACAAACTTCGGATCGAATGAATCGGAGAAGGAAACAAAAGTCTCAGAAGTGCGCCAGCCACGCGAGCATTGTCCTGTCGTCCTTTGGCCCTGCCATCCTGCCATCCTGAGGTCCTTAGTCCTGAAAGTCCTGAAAGCAACGCAGATACATGGATGCTGCGAATTCCAACCCTGCCGGGTGGAAAAGTCCTCCCCTCCTGCCGGCGATTCCTCGCCAACTTATCCCTGTCACTTAAAATGCCGCCTTATTTGCGATTCGATAAAGTGAGAGAAAAGGAAACGAGAATCAAGCCATCACAAGAAATGAAGGTTGATTAATCTGAGACAAGCCTATTGAATCGGATTAGTGCGTGTTGGTTAGAGGTTTCTCTACGCTTATCGTCATCCATCAGTCCAAAGTGCACTTTTATTATTTCTTATGAGAATGATCTCTGCACTTGCGAACAATAAATAAGTTGGCTCTTTTGATTATTATATTTAATCTCCAGTTCACAAGATGGACCTGAATAAGGCAAACATTTTTATTTTATTTCTCAAAGAATCCGGAAAAAAAGGTTTTGCAAAAACATGAATTTGTTCTGTGTTTTTTTGTCGTGTTTTGTTAAAAAGAGTGTCATAGCTAAACAAAATACTGTTTTGTCTAGCTTAACACCTCAGCTAACGTGTTATCTCTTTTTTAGATTGATTTAAATAAAAAAAAATTTCGTCAAATTTTTAAATTTTTGTAAGGGGTAACATCATGTTTTTTTGCAAAAAAGGTTCAAAATCTAAAATTTTCAGGTTTGAATACTGATCAATAGGGAATTTCATTACGAGTTCAACGATGTATGACATTCCATATTTGGACAACTGGTTGCAATTTGTCGAATAAAATACCGTGTTTTTTTGGGACAAATTAGATAGTACGACTTATGGCGAAATTGGGAATATTTATCTTGGTTTTTTTTTCGTCATTCCGTTAAATAAAGTGCTACAGCTTAGCAAAATACTGTTTTGTCCAGCTTACAACCTCAGCTAACGAGCAATCACTTTTTTAGATTGATTTAAATAAAACAAAATTTTGTCAAATTTTCAATTTTTTGTAAGGGGTAACATCACTATTTTTTGCAAAAAAGGGTCAAAAACTAACATTTTCAGGTTTGAATGCTAATCGATAGGGAATTTCATTACGAGTTTAACGATGTATGATATTCCATATTTGGACAGCTTGTTGCAATGTTTTAAACAAAATACTGTGTTTTTTGGGACAAATTAGAACGTATGAGTTATTCAAAAATCAGGTATTTTTATCTTGGTTCTTTTGTCGTAAATCTGTTAAATAAAGAGCTACAGCTAAAAAAAATACTGTTTTGTCCAGCTTACAACCCAAGCTTACGAGCCATTATTTTTTTAGATTGATTTAAATAAATTACAATTTCGTCAAATTTTTAAATTTAACATCACAAATTTTTGCAAAACTTGGTCAAAAATTAAATTTTTCAGATTTTAATGCCAATTAATTGAAAATTTTATTGCGAATTTAACAAGGTATAACTTTCCATATTTGAACAATTTTTTCGCTATTTTCCGGACAAAACACTAGTACTTTTTTGTTAAAAAATTGAGATGTGCGATAAAACATGCCATTTAGAATTTTCTCGAAATAACTTGTCTCTCACCCTTTTAAAGGACTTTGCATTTCTCAGCGTGTAGCAATCGCAATCTCCTTCGACTGCTCTGATTTCTGCGCTTCAAGGCGTTCTTGGCACAAATTTGCACTCGACAAACACCCAGGACAACCTGGGGAGAAATTTTACACACCATCCCCCCGACAAATCACCCACATAAGCCCCACAGAGCGGTACGCATTTTGTTTGTTGTTTGTTGTTGGTTCCATTGCTAACCCTTAAGTGCATCTTTTTATGGTAATTTCGAGTGCACGGCCTGTCTGCATGTCCTTTGGCCGGGATCCTTTCTCCCTCTGGCGGCTCCTTGGCAATAATTAATGTTCGAAAATGCATCGTTTATGCGGCATAATGCATTTTCATTTCCATTCTCGTTTTCATCAGGCTGTGTGTGTCTCAAAAGGCTTTTCAGGTTTCGAGCCTGCAAGCCGCGTGCACTTTTGCTTGGGCAGCTCCTCAAGGATCCACTCCACTTGTAGCACATGTTGCCCATTGTGGAGATGAGGCTGCCTTTTTGGGGTTCAGGCTGCGTCCTGCAGGATATGTTCACTCCTGTCAATCCTTTCGCCTGCCACTGAGCTGTAATTAAATTTTTCGCTTTCATAATTTCATGCAATTTCTGCTGATTTGGTTTCCAGGGCGAGAAGGTTTTTTAATTGCATTTCGTTTGTTCTCAGGGGCGGGGAATCGGGAAGTCTGCTACCAATTTGCATTACTCGATTGGGTATTAGAAATGGAAAGCTCCAAATTTGCCAGATCTCCGGGAGCTGCCAATAAGCCAATCACAGCATGTGTGGCTTAATAAATAAATATCCCATTGAGCTTGGGTATTTTGGCCAGCTTATCATAATTGAAACAAGCGGGTAGTTCAAAACTGTAGAAGAACTGCATAAGGAAGTAAGCTGAGCTTGGAATAAATGGATGAGGAATTTTCAAAATAATTCATCAAAGGGACAACAAAGAACTCTCCCTTATCTAAATAAAATAAGGGAAGCAAGGCCATAAATGTAATAATAGTCCTCCAGTTGTGCGTCATGCGCAAATTTAAATATAAACAATTATAATTTTTAGCTGCCATAATCATATGCAATTTGCAACTGCTGCCTCAAGTTTTTTAGGGGTGTGAATATTTTTAATTGCATTTCAGATGAGTGATGACGGGGTGCCATATTTACTTGATTTAGCTGATCTCAAATGAATTTCTAATAGGCCAATTGCAGCATGTGTGTGGCTAAGAACTAGACAATCCGTTGGGCTTAAGGAATTTCCTAGCAAATCCCACTCGCAGTAAACAAAACTCCCCGAAAAATAGCGAGTGACTAACCCCGGGAAAACCTGGCATAATTATGGTCGAATTCGTATTCCTCCAGTTGTGCAGCATGCATAAGTATAAGTACACACAATAAATATGCGCCGGAGGACACAGAAACCCACAGCGCGAGTGAGATGGAGAAAAAGGGAATTTCTAAGCCAGGGGAAGGGGGCCAAAGAAAACAATCACAATTCACAATTCTGTCGGGTGTCGAAGTGC